AAAATAGAAACCATTATATATATATATATAAATGATAAGAAATAACTTGTAATAATAAAATAATATAGTTTTAGTAATCACATTATTAAACGGACAATGATAGATCATAACATCAATGATACAAGTTAAATAAATAACAAAGAAAGCTTCTTTATTGGCACCTATTGCTCCATATTTGCATTCAACAAAAGGTTGCTGATAGTGGAAAAGGGCTCTTAAATGTAAAACGTGATGGTAGTATTTGTGTGTTGTTGACGGAAGGTACCTGTCAGTATTGCTGGCGCGAGAAGCGGCTGGTAGACCGCTGCTGTGTCGCTGCCCTCCAGGGAAGGCAGTAGGTTGTATAGTTATCTCCTGAAGGGGCAAAATCACTACCCTGAAACCACACAACCTACTACCTCACCCTGAACGAACATCAGGAGCGTCCCGAGACCACAGTCAGTGCTACAGATGACTGCGGAGACCTCGAGATGCTGAAATATTCTCCCAACTTGCATAATGTGAATGACAAACGATCTCATATTTCTGCAAAGCACTGTAAAAAACTGTAGAGGAAGCAGTAGGGAAAATCAATCATAGTGATCTGACATGTTTCTTAACAAAAGAAATCATTCTTCTGGGAAATCATTTAATCATTCGATCCAAATATGCACATCATGTAATTCGGGTTTAATGAGTTTTAATATTTTGTTGACGAATGTTGTCCATCCCAGAGACTTCATGTGTTGTGTTGCGGCAGGGTTATTAAAGTTAAACTAAACTGTAAAAAAAAAAAAGATGATATAAATATATTAAAATTATAAGCAATTTTTAAAATTAAAATACATAAATAAATAAACATTCTAAAATATATAACCATTTAAAAAAAATGTAAATATAAATATTATATATAAAATAAAAATATAAATATTATATATATAGATATATATATATTACAATTAAAAAAATATATATATACATGTATTAAATATATAACAATAATTATTAAAATATATAAAATGTATATATAATATAAAAATAAACGTTATTAAAAATAAAATATAAAAAACAAATCTATTTTATTAGCTTTTTTCAGCTTTCAACATTCTCATTTTTGTTCAGTTTAACTGGAAGTATTAAAATAACAAATTAAATAAACTAAAATGAATAAATAAAAAGTAATAAAAACTACGTAAACATAACAAAAACTAAAACGAATAAAAATGACAAAAACACACCAAAACTTTGACTAAAATTAAAAACGAAAACCTAAAAATATATTAAAATATATAACGTAACACACACACACCGCATTATTACAACAAATAAAAACTACCTTATTTCAGCTACTTGCCACATTTCAAACATCAAAATTACAAAAGAAATAAAAATGATTCCAAAAATATAATGACAAAACTTTGCCTGAAATTCAAATGAAAACTGAAAATGTTCAAATAAAATTGAATTCACAAGATGAACAGTTTAGCAATAATACTAAGACTGGTCCACCCGTGGTCGGGCTTAAAGAGGAAGATGACGGTGATATTACAGCCTCTTCAGGAAAGACAGTAAGTTGTATAGTTATCTAACAGCAAGGGTGTCACCCTAAAACTATACAACCTACTACCTCACCCCAAAGGACAGTGGGATCCGCTGGAGAGACGTCAACTCCTCAACACATCCCGGCAGGGGTCTTCAACAGCACCTGCGGGGTCCAGAATATGGAGAGTGGAAATGAACTCGGATACGAAGCAAGCAAACTATTTAAGTGTAAAAGACAAGCTTTCATGTTTCAGACTCATCTCAGTCTGATCAGTGTGCGTCTTCATCTCTGTCTGTCTGCATCTGTAATGAAGAGAAACTGATGAGTCGGTCAGTTTCTGCTGATTTTATGATCAGGGTTTTCTTTAGGAATAGCTCAGATTTGAGTCTGGTAAAGGAAAATGCATGCGGAAAAGCCAAATCCTGTTTGTGTCATTTCCCAATCCCAACCTGCCTTCTGCCTACACAAAACCCCAGGAAATAGAATTCATATTTCAATATTTTTAAATATGTTATCGATTCAATTTAGAGAGAAAAAAAGAAATAATACAAATTAAATATTTACACACTTGTTTTAATTATTTAAATATTTAACATTTGCTTATTTCATAATCCCAACCTGCGTTCTTGCTATTGTTTCTGTCAGATCTCTACTGTCAGCTGAAAACCTGATCAAATATGTATAAATATTTATATTTAAATATTTTGTTCAGTTTAAATTGAAAGTAAAGCAAATGATAAAAATAATATTTCTTAAATACATATTTTAATTATGCATTATAATCTTTAATATTTAAATATTTGTTTACATTAATTATTTATTTAAAAATGAAGCAATACATATTTATTTTTTTAATATTTAAATATGTTTAATATTTGTCAACTGAAAACCTCAATGTATAAATATTAATATTGAAATATTTTATGTTTAAATTTATATATATATATATATATATATATATATATAAAAACATATTATTAAATATATAA